CTGCCCTGCCTCTCTGTTCCAGCTATTCTTGGTTGCTGGAACAGCTCCTAGGGGCCCCAGGCTGCCAATTGTACTAAAATTGCTGGTAGCCTTAAGACTATTCAAGGAGTAATTAGCTACCAAATGTGGGTAATTGTGACAGAGTCTAGCTAATACTGCTTATGTCTGAACAGACTAATTAAAGGCTCCACACATGAGAAGAAGAGAAAAAAGCCTCTTTTAAGGAAAAGAATTATTAAAAGAGGAAATTTGATCTATTATTAAAAAAAAAAGTTCTGCTCCTTCTAGTAGGATCCTAGCAGGTTTTGATAATTAAACTTGGAAAACGAAGTACAACTAGAGTTTTAAAATTAAATACTTTCACTGTGGGACCCTTCATACTCTGCTTTTGATTTCATAAAAGCCATTTTATGTTTTTTACAAAAAGGTTGTTCAGTGCAAGAACATTTAAAAATTATTCTTGCCTATGAAAAATCAGGAGTTCTATTTCTGCTATCAGAGACATTTCTAATTTGAAGAAGCCCAGTTGGAGATATGTCATCATGGGTACATAAGTTCTGTTTCTCCCTCTGTACAAAATGCTATGGGGAGGAGAAATAATCTTCTGCTGGTCTGACAAGACTACAGTCCTCCACACATCAGTATAGCTGTGTTTGTCGTAATTTGTACCTGTGCTCCTCCCTTCTGCTGCTCCTACAATCAGTAGTTCCATTCCATCCCATTTATGTAATGTGTGTCTTCAGTGGTACTTAGATATTTGCTAATATGATCATAAAATCTCACATCTCAGCTAAATTTTCTATGCCTCTAGCTGTGCTGCAAGAAATAGCAGATTTCTTAACTGCAGGAGTCCCGTATATAGCTGATTATATCTACTTCTTGGTCTGAAGTAGATCAGTTAGGAGAGAATAATCAGAAAGAGGCCCTCGCAAGAGCAGCAGATTCAGAAGAAAACAGCTCCCTTTACTTCCTCCTGCCCAGCTAAAACAGATTATTTTAGAAGACACTTCCTTGTGTTCTAAGATGCTGCAGTATCACTAATACCCTCTCAGCTGTTCTTAGGGTGCCATAGCGCTTCCCAGCCACCAGCCAGCCACCTGGCCACCCTCAGCGGTCTCTGTTTCTTTCTCAGACTTAGACCTGTAAAATGTCTCTCAGATACGGCAAACAACTTGTAGTGTCCTGCCTTGTGCTTTAGCCATAGCCACTAAATTTGGGGTGTTCTCTGTCTGTCTTTCTCCTGCTATGCTGATGGATTGGCTGTAAGCCTAAATTTAAGATGTAGTACTCTGAAATACACAAATCATCTCTTTAAATACAGCAGAATTGCATCAGGCTTGGTAGCTATTTATGGCTGTAATCAGTGACCAAATGTGGAGTCCCAAGCTGTCCATTAATGACAATTTTGCTAAGAAGATAGGTAGAAAAGTTGTACTTATTTAGAAAGAAAGCCAGTTCCTCTTCTAACTGGAAAGGGGAGCAAGCCATGCTGTCTTGGTCTGTCCAGAGAGCAGAGAACTGTGAACTGACCCACATATGCAAACACTCTGCAAAGTTCAAATCTGATTGAATTCCAGACATTTTACAGCCAGGAATACAGGTATAACCTCATTATGGCAGCTGCAATTCCTTTTTTATAGACTGCTTCAAAGAGCAGCTGATATAACCTAGTCTCCCTGCTTGAGTATCTTCTTACTCTATGTTGTGAAAGTGGATTAGAAATAACATATTGCAACTGATGTTCACTCTCCAAAACAAAAGGAAACAAAGCTCTGTTATTGAATGCAGTCTTTAACTAGAACAGGCAGTTTATGATTGTCTTTTCAATACAAATCTGGTGATCAGCAGAGTTTGTGGCTAATACTTGCTCTTTTCTTCTGTATCCTCTCTATTGATTTGCACTTGGGAATTCATGTAAGTGAGGTGTTCTACGTTGATGTGAGAGCTCTCGTGGAAATGTGAGGACATGGTAGCTGATTCTCCTGCTCTTTGAACTGAGAATTTAGGTGACCTGACTGGCGACTCATAAAAAGACTCTTAGGTAAAGAGCAGCAGCGATACTGGTTTAGCAGGACAGTCCAATCTGAAGTAGTCTTCAGGTTGCTTTAATTGGTTTTAAGGCTGAGGATGAAAATCCTGTGCATGATGTATGTGGAAAGATGTCAGAAGGCCCGTGACACAGGATTTCAAGAAGTCTCCTTGTTTACAGTCTTTATAACAGCAATACATATTTTGTGCTCCTTGGTATTAACAATTGGAAGCATCTTAAAAATGTCATCAGTGCAGCCCAAAGGAGGGGAAAGAAGTAGAAATTGCTCTGCAGCCTCGTCACTCTTTTGTACAATTCAGGAAAGAAGAACCCAAAAATAGGAATGGTGAAATGTCTGTACCTTTTCAAGAAGTCTGACAGATGGTGCTATGGCATGCATCTCTGCTACTTGACCTGGAGGCATTCTGGCTGAGACAGTGAAAATACAGTCATGTAAGCTACATTTTAGAAATACCTGCTATTGTTCATCATTATTTACATAACTTTGCATAGATGGGAGTAGGGGCTTCTGTGTTAGTAGTACCTTGCAGTAGAAACTGCAGGCTTGATAAAGTAAATTAATGTGTGACACATGCAGCTTCCATCTGGATGCATGAAAAAAAGACCAGACTCTTAAAGTTTCATAAGACAAATCTGTGGTTTGGGTTGGGTTTTTTGTTTTGTTTTGTTTTTAATTGACAGTAATTAGCAGCTCACATGTAAGAAAACTAAATCTTTTTTTCCCCCCTACATTCAGATGCAGAGCTGTGTTTCCCATACCTACAGTTGGTCATCATGTCATTAAGATGTGTTCTTTCTTTGTTTCTTTTTACACTAAAGGATTAGTGTCATGTTTCCTATCTTGCCCAATGAGCCTGACTACCGTTTTCTCTTCAAGTGACACAATTTCAAGTACCACAAATGCCTGACCGTTTACTCCAACTCTCATCCAAGATCAAAATGTTAGCCTGATGACCAGAGCACACCTCAGAGAGATCTGTGTTTAACTGCATTTGGCCAAGGAAGGGATTAGGCCAAATTTCCCACCTCTGACCAAGGACTAATACCATTTTGTAAATTGGCGTGTTATCACCATGGTGTTCTCCCCTGCTAGATCACGTTAGCAGAGGACAATGATCTGTCCTGACTTCCTTCTGGAAATTCTGCATGGTGACACACAAGTAGATGGAACAGAGCACTTACAGCCCTGCACTGAGATTTCCCTCTTGACCCACTGTAGGCAAGTACTTCTTAAGACAGTGGCTTCAAGCAGCTTCCTGATCAGCTCACTAGTTGCTTTGGATTTCATGCATGAGGCATGCAGGCATCCACTGTGCCAGGAGTTTAAGCATGAAAATGGATCTCTGGATTCCATACTCGCTCACAGCTCATTAATATCTAACTTAAATGCTACCCAAGACCTCTGTACAAATTGTCACTGAGTTTGAGTGTTCTCTGAGCTGGCCAGCTGTAAGGTAGCTTATGGCTATGTGATGGCATGGTGTTGGTTTACAGCATAGTGCCCTGGCAAGGGAAGAGCAGAAACTTACAGCCAGAGATGGAGGAGAGGAGAGGACAGGACGGCTGCTATCCACAACTGTGCAAACTTAGATTGCCTTAAGCTGCTTGTTAAACCACAGTTACAGTCTTTAGGTAATTCTAGGGAGAAGCATTTTTCTATTCTTAGATTAAATAACATTGCCACTCCAGTTTATCTAAGTAGTGCTGCTACAGAATACTGCTATATTTAGAAATCACTGAACTCGTTAATGCAAGAACAATATATTATGAAAAAGATCACAGTACGCTTCTCCGTTCTATTAGTACTATGAGTTTTGTAATGTATGCTAGACCACTATATTCCTCTTTAATTACCCCACACATGAATGTACATCTTCCCTATGCAATTGTGGCATCCATTTTCATCAATCTTTGTCTCAAGTGTACGTATAAAGACTATTCCCCTGATTTTCAGAGTCACCATTAGCTCTGAGCTCATCCAGAGGCTCTGAATCATGGATAGGGAAAATGTGTACTGGTACATGAAATTAGTGTGCATATTGGTACATACCAGTGCATATTGGTACATGAAATTAATACCCTGCATTGTTCTCCCCACTCCTTTTGAAGGAATCCATTCCCTCATTAGGGTTGGATTGGATGTCTAATGAGGGTGGATTTGTGGCATGCAATCTGCACATTAGCAAGCAGTGCGAGACTCACATTTCCGAGTGAAAAGTACACTGTGTAACACGGTTTCACATCTCACATCTCATTTTCATAAGTTTAAATGGGGAACCAATTCATAAAAAGACATACCTCATTATGAAGCAGTGAGGATCAAAGTCAGGCACAGATAGCTGGGACATAGTACAAGGAGTCTTAAAGCACTGAAGACTAGCAAAATAGGGGTAGGGTTACCTCTGGATCAGGACTTGTTTCGCTGAGCGTGCCTCTACTTAATTGGTCAGCTCTGGATACACATTTGCTAGTGGGGAGAGAAGTCTGTGGTTACCAACTTCTGGCTTTGGAATTTGATTATACATAAATAAAAGCAGGTGTTCTCCAAGATAGAAGGTTTATCAATTTTTTCATCTGTTGTTCAGGAATTGCAAATTACTATTTTTCCTTTCAAATTCCATCTTCCTTCATATTTGCATGTATATTTGCTTTCAGCGAGCAAAGGCTGTGTGTGGGGTGTCAGAAATTAAACTCTGAATTGAGTAGAAATAGGTTACAGAACACATGGAAACATGTACTGATAGTCTTTATGCGTTTAAAAAGCTAATCTGAAATCAACACTGAAATGTCAGAAGAGAAGAAATACCTATCAGCATGAGTACACGCAAGCACTTTGGATATGCAGAAAATAATTTGGCACGAGGTTTAAACATTTCAAATGTCAGGGTTGAGCAATGTGAGTACTGTAATCTTTACTTCTTCATTAAAAAGCTAATCTGAAATCAACACTGAAATGTCAGAAGAGAAGAAATACCTATCAGCATGAGTACACGCAAGCACTTTGGATATGCAGAAAATAATTTGGCACGAGGTTTAAACATTTCAAATGTCAGGGTTGAGCAATGTGAGTACTGTAATCTTGTTACTTCTTCAGAACAGCACACACGAATGCCCAAAGAGAAATCAAAGCCAATTTTCTAAATTTTAAGAATATGCTACTAAAATTTTTGTGTGTCAAAGAAAGTACATGATGTTAATTAAGTGAGGGGAATTCATATTGAATGTCATATGTCACCCACACGTACAGTGTTCCAAGCTGTGCTTAGCCTGTGCTGCGACATAATATACACAGTGGCATTGCACAGAACAGGTGGGAATCCACAGGCCTCAACACACACAAACCAGGCAGTCTTGGCAACATTTTTTCTGATATTTGTCATTTGGCTGTAATAGGACAGATTTGCTATTACACTTTCAGGTGTACAGTAACAGGAACAGATTGGTTACTAATTTGAATGATTTTAGTAGTGCATCCAACGCAAATAAAGCAATTTACCAAACAATCTGTGAGTGAAAAGATTCAGAGTTTTGCATCAGCTTTGTCATTTGTGGATCTAGCAACTAATTGCCTGGCAGAGCTTTAATTAAAAGCAACGTTATAGGTATAGATATTTGCTTCATATTTTCTAACTAGAGTAGGTTTGAAAAGTTTGACATAGTGGTAGAATAATGAGATTATCCTGCAATTCTTTGGTTTTAGAACTTTAGACAAATATTCTCTTTGTAGGAATAAACAGTTTCATATTCAGTGGTTCATCTAGACTAATAAATTACTTACTTAGATTTTCTGTCTGAAGGAGGACCACTCCCAAACTAAGTATGTGTCTTTAAGTAGCTTGAATTGTAACATGTAATTTAGGAGCACTTTAAAAATCTAATTCATGTGAGCCAGTCCACCATTATATATCCAGTATCATATGTGTGTCTGAGGCCTGATAGACCAGTAAGGTAGATGATTCACTTGCTTTGCTTATGTAGGTGGTTAGATTAGTGGTACTAGTAATTCCATAGGCTCTGTCTACATTGTCCTCTGTAATATTAGGATGCTGCCCCACCCAGTTTACTGTCCTAGCTTGGAGCTGGCAGCTTATGGTGCCACCTACCCTGGAAGGAAGTCTGTGACCTAATCTCTGTATCGTGGAAGATTCCCAGTGCAGCAGCTTAGCAAAGGCTTTCTAAATCAGCACTGGTATGAGAAGATTGCTGTTTGGTTGGTCTGGTGTGATTAAAAGCGGACCAACACCTAGTTCCAGAACAAGGTCAGGAAATTAAAGGAGGTCAGAACAAGCCAAGAATAGCAAGTCGTGCTCAGGGGCTTTGCAGGGGGAAGCGTTCTTGGCTGAGGTATGATGTTTTCCGGGCGGATTTTAGCAGGGAGGCGCACACCTGTGACAGGACACTGTATGTAGTGGGGAGAACAGGGAGGGGATCTCATTGCCTAGTGAGAGGTACAGGAGAACCTGATTTGTCACAATTTTGCTTTTAGGCAATGATATATATCAGGCAGGCTCTAGAGTTGCCAGCCCCATTCCTAGTCTCTGACTCAGTTATTCAATATTCTTGTAGCCTGACTTCATTCCTGCAAGCTCACTGTTTTTGTAATTGTCAGAGGGGTAGGGTGGGAAGTGGGGAGGGAGAGACAGGAGCCTGCAGTGCCAACTGCAGGGCTTCTATACCAGATGGTATTCCCCCATCTGAGGTCAGGACAGCATATGGCATTCAGGAGCTCTGGCATGCCAGAGACACGTTGCATGCATTTCGTGTCCAGTGATGGGCACCACAATTATTGTAATTGTTAAGAGGTGTCATTCCATCCTCTTCCATGGACTGTGTGATCATCACAGGCAATTAATTCATGGATATTAGCTCCTGACTTAGAATGGTGTTAAAGTGCATGCATAACTTTAAATGCGGCTGCTAAGTTAGTTTGTTTTGGGCCTTATATCAGGCTTTGTTTGCTTTTCTAAAAAATAACAGGAATTTACAGAATATGGTAGAAAGCAGCAAAATATTGGTGAGATCCAGAGTGATTTTTCTGCAGGTGTTGTTTTATCCACAGAGTTGTTGTATATGGTTAAGAAGTGAATTAGGACCGGGAAGAGGTTGTTAACTGAGACATGTCTATAGTCTCCTTTCATGTCTTGTTCCGGAAGAGGACTGAAAGCAATAGACAGTAGCACTGAACCTGACCCAGCCTTCCTTCCCTGCTCGCATGCTTTTTTTAACCGTTATCTCCTTCATCCTGGCTATAATAGGTACCCAGTAAGACTATCCCATGCAATTAAATAAAGAGTCAGAGAACGTTCACTCACTACAGACTCTGCATACGACCTTCACAGTACAAAGACAAAAGAAATTCAGGATTGCGGAGTAACCTCAGCTATAGTTAGGTTTGGTGCCATCCTGAATTGTTTGGGACAGAATAGAGTGATGGCAGTCAGATAAAATGATAAAACCATGCGATCCACGTTTAGATCCTGTAACTGGGTGTATCTGCAGAGGGGGAGTGAAGGGGCTGTGTTAGTCACTGTCACTGCCCACAGATTTAGAACATCAGGTATGGGGAGATTTATGCAACAGCTCTTCTTTTTCCTAGGCTCATATATGTATGCTTTCATTCCCCAACTTCACTTAGTTCTCCCCACAGCAACCCTATTTACTTGGACTTTCTTTGAGGTGAATTTGCTGAGTTTTCCTGCTACAGCTGATGCCTACTACTTCTTTTAGCTACACAACAGCAGAACACAGGGTATGGAAGCACAAATATATTTTATCACTGCTGTATACACTGAAATGGTAACTGGTCCAAAAAAATGCATTAAATAGATTGTACTATAGTTAAATATAATACACTCAAAATACTCAGAAGTAATTGCAACAGCCAGCTGTAATAAAAAAGGACATAAAATTTTTATATTCGTGGATGATTGTACTCTTACTTAATGCAGGGCTTGTTTTACACTTGCTATGCAGAGTGATTCAAACTTTCATACGGTTCCCATTCCAGAAAAAGGTAAGATAGCTTGAGCAAATACTTTCCTAATTTATTCTTAAAGAATATGAGCATTTTAAAGTAGCATACGTTTTAAAAATTAAGCAGAACTTTAAATAACTATGATCTGCTTTTGTTTGCAAACTGAGCTATCAAAAAATCCCCTAGCTTCTTTTCAGTACAATTTTTAGTGCTTTTACCCTAAAACTTTAATGCCAGATAATCACATTTGGAACTGACCTGTATGTTCTCCTACAAACTAATTTTCTTATCACTCTGTTTGTTTCATTTCCACAGCTTAGTTTTTCTTAAACTAATTGTGTTGAAAAATAAGGATCGATTGAAGAGGAGAGGCTAAAATCCCTTCTTGTACCTTGCTTTTTAGGCTCAAGCCTTTTCTACAGAAAAGTTCTTCTACTGCCCAGAAGGGAAAGTTCTTGCCAGTTGCTCACCTAATTGTGCATCTTGTCTACAACCAACAAATATTCACTGGCTCCGTAAGTCCATCCAGTGGCTGCATATGGGAATTGCGTATTTTAGAAGGTAAATTCCCATTTTGTGCAATTTAGTTTATTGAGTAGTGTAGTTAATATTATTACTGGAAATAAACATGAACCAAAATGTACAACTGGAATACTCCCAGCCTTTGGTGATAAGTAGGTCTGTATCTGTAAAGTACCCTTTGAATAATACTGAGAATTGGTTTGTTATTGCAGCAACAGGACCAAGATAAAAGTTGACGATAATTTATTAGTATTTAAATTAATTACCTACTAGAACGAGGAACAGAAATCTGCCAAGTGAAAAGCTTTAGCTTATTTTCATTCTGAAACTGAGACAACTGAGGTAATTGCGAATACAAGGTCTTGTGAGAGTTGTCCTCTTAGATGTCAGCATGCTTGTGTTTCTACTAAAGCGAACCTGTACAAAATTACATCTTCTGATCATTAAATATGTTCTTTGTTAAATGCCATAAGATACTACAAAAAGTAATTCAAAAACTGAATGTAAAGAGGACAAGATCTGAACAGTGTGTTCCAGAAGTCACATTAAGAATTTATATACAGATTATTTCCAGAAAATCCTACTTAAGTTCAGTATTGAATCTTGATGGATCATCAGGCTAAAACAGGCTAGCTGATTGTTTGAGAATCTACAATTAGATGTAGCATTTCCCCTTGGTGATGACAGCAATTTGAGCCTCAGTGCCTTGAGCCCTACTTCTAACATCACTTCCATTATTGCTACCAGTGCTGGAGTTATAACTGTGGAGAATATCAATGTGATACTTTTACCAGTTAGAAAAAGTCCATTTGCTAAAAGCCTTTTAATTCTCTGTTCTTGACAAATACAGGCTTCTAAAATCTTCACCATCATTAC